AGAATATGAATCCTGGCAGTTTTACTTCCTTATCATGAGACTTGGCAAGTTCATTGACATTTATATGCCTCAGTTTCCTTAACTGTAGAATAGCGAGGAAAAAAATAATAACACCCACCTTGAGTGTTATAATGAAGAATACATTAGCTAATATCTGTAAAACTCTTAGAGGAGTACCTGGCATTTGGCAATTATCATTAATTATCATTAATCCTCCCCGCCCAGTCAACAATGCCAGTTTCTTTTAATGGAGCTGAGAGAGGGAGGGGAAAGAACAGAGAAGCATGTGAGAATTCTGTGAGTCAAAGATGGAAAATGCATAAAATATAGATTTAGTGTAACTGACCATGAACTCACATCTTCTGCCCAAAACATTCAAGTAGCAAAGTTTCTTCAAGGGTAGAACAATATACTTAAATTTAAGCTCAAGTTATCATGTTTAATTATCCTCACCTGAAACGAAGTACATGCTTATTCTCTTTAGAGGCTCTAGGCTCCATGCAGCACCGTCCAATGGAGCTTTCTGTGACGAGAGGAATGTTCTCTCATCTGCACCACCCAAAACGATAGCCACTAGCCACGCATGGCTCTTGAACATTCGCATGGCTCTTGAACATTCGCAATGTGGCCAACATAAGGAAATGAATTTTTAATTTCATTGAATACTGGTTATTTTAAATTTAAATAGCCACTTGTGGCTAGTGGCTACCCTACCTGGGATCTGAGTAGGCAAGCCCCTGGCCTTGGCTCTTCCTCGCTCTCCAGCTCCATGCTCTGCTCCTCTCCCTCCCTCCAGCAGTCAACACTCCCGAGGCCAGACTGCTGTTTCACACCTCCCTGGCTATGCAGATGCTGCCCTCTTGGCCTGAACTGCCCTTTCCTTGCCATCCACCTCCCAACCTCATGAAACCTCTGTTCAGATTTCACTTCCTCCGTGCAACTTTCCCCAATTCCCTCCCGGCTTACCTCACCCCACTGCCAACACAATCCATCACTGCCTGATCTGTGCTACTCTGCATCCGTTTCCGCCACTCTCATCACCCCGTAGTTGTCATGTATTCCCTGTGATGCTAACAGACTGGGGAAATTTTAAGGGCCAGGTCTTATTCATCGCTGCGTTCTTGTGGTGTGTGCCCATCGCAGAATATATGTGCAGTAAATATCTGCTGAGCACATTAGTCATTGCATATAAATATATGCAATGTTTTCTTAAATAAGCCTCAGTGTATTGACAACCACTCCCTGATTATATAGATCAAATTCTCTTATAAGCCCTATTTTCAAATAATAAAAAAGTTCTTAGAGTCTCAGTTGAAGGTCTATTTATTTTAAGCCATATCAACATAACATTTCAGTACAAATCAAAGAATATAAATGCTCCCTGGAACAAAATCCTACCTGTAGCTGCTCCTCCTAAGGGTCTGGAAGTCTCTTGGATTTCAGAAACTGATCCTGTCATTGATCTGTCCCCCGTGCTTGCAGTGACTTACTAGGGAGACACTGACACAGTTGAAAAGCAAGAAGACAAGAGGACTTGATTATGGACAGAGTCATATGGGAATTCAAGGGTGATCTATCCTTGCTACACCCTCTACCCAATCCTACCTCCAAGAAGGAAATCATCAAAATCTTATCTACTGTGAAAAATACTGACGTGGGTGATACATGTCTGTTCCGTGACATATGTTATCCCCCCAAAAAAGTACTGTTTCCCTTATTCCTTAGCAAAACTTTTTTGCTCAAAAAAATCTTCCTTGTTAAATTATGTAGCAACTGTTGCAATATTAAATTGCCCTGGGAGCCATCCTGGTTCATTTTTTTTTTCATCACAATTCTCTGACTAATCCTTTATTTGGATTCCTACACAAGTGTTCCTACAATTAGAATAAGCTTTTGATGCATACAATTCTGTGAGCCTTATTTGTATGAAACATTTCCCAAGGACCAAGCATCTGGTGAATGTATTTTACAAATGATTTTCTTTCCTGCCCTTCAGGAACTTACAGTTCAATAAGACAAATAAATATACAGTGACCAGAAATGCATATTCGTTGGTACAATCATGGCAGTGGGCATTGAAGAAATGGATTTCAGAGAGAACATGCATCCAAAGGACTTCATCTTCAAATCAGATATAGATTTGACTTTTGTTTTCTTATTAATTATGTGGTTTTGTTTTATTTTAAAATGCACAAACAGCACTTTCTACTGTAATGAACATTGATTTAACAAATGATTGAGTTACATGGGGCTGTATGATCATTTAGATAAATCTCTAGTTTTCCCATAATACTGACAGATTTTACACAGTCTTTTCTCTGGTTTCCCTTCCCTTCCCCTCACCCAACACATATCTCCCAGAATTTGAATCTAAGATGCTCCCCCAAAAGACAAAGGACTAACATATCTTCTGAGGCTACTAATGAATACTATGAGGTAAGTATCTTTCCCTAAGTTGCCTGCCTTAAATTTAAATATAGGGATATCAATTTTTTTTTACTTCCTTCCAAAATGTGCCAATCTAGGAAGAACGCTGATTAAGTCTAGAAATTATGTTCTATGTTATTGGAATTGCTTGTGAATTCTACTAATATAAGATGCACTTATTTCCAAAATGTGTCTCTTGTTGCTTAGAAAAGAGAAGATCTAGCTTTCACAGATTATGTTTTGAGGTTAAAAATGAAGATTGTGACCTTAAGTCCCTCGAGATTTGTAAGGCTGGCATGCCATCTATCTCAATAATACCTAACAAGAATGTCAAATGGACAGAAACGGCCCTGGTAAGCGGGTGTTTGCAGCTGACAGTGATTGCTGTATTTTGGGTGATGGGGAACAGCATCTCCATTAGTTCAAGTGAAATACAATGCTCTGCCAACTCTGGGTATCAGTGTATTCAATCCCCCTGCTGTGCAGTGTCCATTTTCTGTTGCTGCAATTAAAAATCAGTCGATACAAAGTCAAAATGTTGTACCCTCTTCCCCTATCCCTTTCCCTGTCACTGTGTTTCCAGCTTCACCGGAAGAACATGTCACTATGGTAACGAAGCTCTCTGGTGCACAGACCAAGTCAACCTTTCTAGCCGGATTGCTAGGCAAAGCAACATGGAATCAAAGCCCTCAATGGAACCACCAGGAGCCATGGATTCCATCCCCCTTTTTCTGAGTGGAGTGAACCAATGCCAGACAGAAAGATACCCAATCCATCGTGTTGCCAGAGACCTTTAAGAAAGGAAATGCAAGAATGTCCTTCAGCAAGTCCTACCACTGTTTTTCAGTGTTATTAACATGAATTCTTCCTCATGTTTCAGCTAACTTCCTACCATTTCAATTTTAATGAAAGCGGAGCACAAAAAAACGACATAACACTTCATGAATCTGAGAATCTGAACGCTGTTACAGTCTACCCATTGTTAAAAAAGATTCTGTTTTCTCTTGCCTTCCTACTTCTAAATCCAAACCAAGTTACTCTCTTCTGGAATTCTCTAATATCCTGCCCATCTTTACAAAGTTGTAGAGCTCCAAATGGGTCACCCTGCTCTAATATGAGCCTAACTCTGAAGCAGTTGTGGTGTTTGTAGTATTAACACACTCATAACCGAATCAGCTAAAATCCCTAATCATTCTACAGAAGCTACAAAACAAACATGAAGATGGATTCTCCTTCTGGACTTCACCTCACCTACATCTGACTAGCCACCTAGACCATACCCACTGCTTGTCATTCTTAAATAACTGACTTTTTTTTTTCAAATTAACTATTTTTTCTGATCAATTTCAACATTTTTCTGAATGAAAGAACATCAGTTCTCACAAATAATATTTTACAACAGGAGCAAACCTGCATTATAATATTAAGGGACAGTAAGAACTGTTCCATCTGGGCCTCAGAGACTTTGCAGAGAACATCATTTTCACCTTGGCATCACCATTTAATAGTTGAAGAACATGAAACACAGTGGGGCGGGGGGGGGGGGGGGGGACGACACACGACGACAAGACTCATAAAGTCACACCACATCTTCCAGAATGCAACTACCCTAGAAGAGAACGCATTCCCTTTTTCAGAGCAATATTAATATATATCCAAACAACATTTCAATGGATTAACAGAACAGGGTGGTCCCCAAAGTATAAATCATCCAAGATTTACAAATTGCATCAGATGAACAGACTTTTAAAAATTATGTGATCAACATTAAAGTACCCAAGAAATTTTCATCATTAGCAAATTAAGTCTGTTTTCTGTTTTGGAATACTTCAGGTATTTTTGATACAAATCTTCAGAACATGGTAATTTTTTTTCCGCTGAAGTGCCCACTTTGGTGTTACCTGAGGAACTACTTTTTATGTGTTTATTAGGCCCTGCTTAATTCGATGCACACAAGTCACTTTTGTCAACCACCTCCCCAAAAGGAGAGATCAAGAATCGTGGTATGATGCTCCTGGTCAACAGGCCTGTCGCTGCAACGGGGCAGGGGCTGTGATTTACTGATGTTTATGTGACCAATGCCTGCACCGTGCTCAGTATAGTCTAGCACTTAGCAAGCGTTTGTGGCGTGAATAAGGTGAATAAGGCCTTCTCGGTGAGATGCTGAATCAGTTCGACATCTAAAACAAAGATTAAAACTAGGAGGCTGTCTGCCTGACACATCATTCTCAAATTTGGGGCTTGCTCTGCGAACAACACAACATGAGAGATTCCCTCCATTTTCAGAGATTGATGAAGCACTAGCCTGGATTAAAAACCCTGGCCCACGATATTCCACGGGAACCCCATCAGACCAACGCAAGACCAGAGGCCGGCCAGAGAGAAGTAAGCCTCCATTACCAGCTACTGGGAGGCAAGTTCTGGCCAGTCCGAGGCTCCGCAGGGCCTGGCCAACCTGACCTCCTGGAAGCAGGAGGCCCGGGAGACTGTGGCCCGGCGAAGGGAGGAGAGGGTGGCCGGGCCTAGGAGGCGCCGGGCTCTCCGCAGCGCCACGCCTCGCGCCTCGCGCTTACCTTTCCGAATGAGGGCTGCGATCTCGGGGTCGAAGCCCTGCCGGTGGCACTTCCTCCAGAGGCCCATGTTGGTGGAGTTGTACTGCCGACTGCACTCGTCAACCGGGCTCATGGCGAAGAGCTGCCGGCGGTTCCGGGCCCGGAGGAGTTTGCCCTCCCAGCGGTCCAGGCGCGAGCGGCTCGCCCGGAGCGGCAAGTTGTTGTTGTTGTTGTAAATGAAGCCCGGGTCGACCCGGCGGGTGTTGAAGGCCTTGCACCTGTCCCTGTGCTTCCTGGCGTCCGTCTCGTACCAGTGGTCCGAGCAGATGGCCACGGCCAGCATGCCGAGGGCGCAGAGCGCTAGCGAGAGGCCCGTATAGAGCAGTAACCTTCCGGCAGCCATGCCTCCGCTTGGCGGCTACACCATGGGCATGATCCGCCGCAGCCTCGCCTTCCCTCCGCGCGCCCGGAACAAAGCGGCGGGCGGCCGAGCAAGGGGGGGAGGGGGACCGGAGGGGGGACTCGCGCGGCGGCTCCCCCTCGCCCCCGCCTGCCAGTGCGCGCGGCCCAGGGACTGCGGGGATGGGGGCGGGCAGCCTAAAAAGTTCTGATCCGGGGAGGCTCGGGCGGGCTCCTGGGCATCCTCCGGGGCAGGTGCAGCCTCGGGCGGCGGCGAGCGGAACAAGACCGCCTCCCGCCCCCTCCCTGCCCCGCAAGAAGCGACTGCCCTGAACCGGCCGCGTCCGTACGCGGCCGGAAACTAAACACCAAGTGCCCTCGGCTGCAGTGGGGCTGCCGGGCTTTCTTTGTGCAGGGTAGCGATGGGACCCCTCGCCTGCCTTTTTCTTGGGGTGAGGGGCTATCACGAGGAGCTGCGCGACGACCGAATGAACTCCGGCACCCGCGATGCGGCCGGCCAGCGAAGGAAACCTCCAGATGCCAGGGCCGGCTGTCCTGAGTCCCGCCTGGGTCTCCCACTCAGCGACTCTCCCCCTTCCGGTCTGCAAGCGAAGAAATGTTCTTCCTCTCTGGGTCGGGTCTTTTTAAAATCTCCGTCCTCTGGTCACCAGCAGGTCCCTTGCTCTGTCTGGCCAGCGCGCTGTTCTCAGAGGCGGGCTCCCCGTGGGCGCACGGTCGCGGCCGACCTTTCCGCGCGGGCTCTCGGGTCGTCTGCGTCTGGCCTCGCCATTCAGGAGGCCCCACGGGCCGACGGCGCGGTCACTCGGACGGCGTTAGGGGACGAGCCTTGGCCCGGGACTGAGGACGACTGGGCGGCAGCTGGCGGGCGCGAGGGGCAGGCTGCGCAGAGGAGGGTGCACCCGGCAGGGCGCACGGCGCGGGGCGCGCGGAGCTCGGCTCGCGGTGCCTTCAACACCATGGACAGGTCGCGCGATCGGGGCTCACCGCCAGCTGGGCAGCCAGCCCCCGGGGCGTCATGCCGATCTCCCCAGCGCCCTCTTCTTCCTCAGTGTCCACCCGGCAGGTTCCAGACCCGCCTCTCCCGCGACGCCTCTGCCTCACTTCATCTGGCTCCCAAGTAGCCCCGGGAACGTGCTGCCCAGGTGCAAAGAAAATGCTGCAGGCACCGAGGAAAACAGCGGCCCCGGCCCTTCAAAACAATCCGCCCCCTTCTCCCGCCACCCGAGCCCGCACTGTAGCTGTCTGCTCTGCCCAACTGGAGTCAGCCGCTCTCAGACTGCACCATTTTCTTCGCAGCCCACCCGAGGCGCCGGCTCACTCGGCAGCGTGCAGAGAATCCCGTCCCGGTCTCAACGTCCCACGATCAGGCTCCTGGCGCGCGGTGGCCGCCGAGGTGAATGGGGCGAGGGTGGGGGAGGGAGGCTGGGTCGCTGCCTTCTCCTCTAGCCGCGGCGGCTCCGGGGCCTCGCGGGCGGGGCGGGTGCTGGGGAGCGAGAGCCCCGGCTGTGCCCGGGGTGCTCGGGAAATCGCATCGCCCGGCTGCGAGCGCCGGAGGAAGCCGCTGCCGCGCTCGCTCGCTCGGGCGCCGGGCGCTGCAGCCTTGGCTAAAACCCACAGACGAGAACACGGAGCGCGCAGCCAAAAGCTAGTGATGTCATCCGTGCAACGTGAGCCTCATCTCTTATTTTTCTAGCATCCTTAAAGATAAACTGCACCATTTCCCAGGCACGAAATGTCTAAGCCTTAGTCTTTGACCAGGCAAGTCAATGGTGTCTAGATAGGTATGTGCCCAACCACATCCATATTTATGCACATATACATATATGTAGTATGTAGCATGTTTGTTTACACGCATTATTATAAATTTAGGGATGTTGCCTCCATCTCCTATTTATCTCTTTTCAGTGGTGGAAAATTCCCTCAAATCGACCACAGTTCTTTAAAGGCTGCTTATTGCAGAGTCGGCATCCGGAGGGGCTGAGGAAGTTCCCTGCGTCTCCCAGTTTTGGTCGCCGGTATCTTGGATCACATTTGATCTTTGTTTTCCCCTAGAAAGCCACAGGCGCTACCCTGCTAGCTACAGGCGTTTCCCCCTGGGGCATAGTGCGTCGGTGGGGTTGCCACGGCCAACCCCAGTCTAGCCCCACGCCAGCGCCAGACACCCCGACACACACCCACCTCCACCTGCCTCCACCTCCCTCCCTCCCCAGCAGGAAAGGATTTTTCCAGCAGGAAATTGATTGATCCTTTCAAGGCCAGAGGAAGAGAATGTTAATGGGTGTGTAGGGGGGGTGCTTAATAGATATTTTGAAAACGCCCGGGGGCTCGCTCTTTGAGAAGGGGAGGTGGGGTTAAATGAAACCCCGACGCGGGATTTGTCCTCAACTGGGTGGCGGCTAGATTTAGGCTCAGCGCGGGTTCTGGGAAGTAGTGAAGGACCCCAGACCTTGAGCGAGTGGGCCGCAAGCGAGCCCCGCTTCATCCCAGAAACGCCCCCCTCCCCCCGCCCCCGGCCCGGCTCACGTGAGACAGCGCCGCAAAGGCTGGGAGCCTCCCTCCCAGGTTGAAAGACCGGGTTTTTCTCTCTAATGCTCGCCCCTCATTTGCACCCGCACTCCAAAACCGGGGGCCCGCACTGCCGGGGAAAGAGCTGCCCCGGGGAAAAAGAGTATCCGGCACCCTGCTTTGCAAAACGGGGCCTCCGAGCCAGAAAGAGCGCACCTCCACCATATTCTTTTTGTCTTTTTTCATCCTCCCTGCAGTTTGAAAATCGGGAACGAGGCGTTTCAGTGCCATCTAGTGGGGGAGGGGCGAGCCTCGCTTTCCGTCCCTGGATGCGGCAAGGGATTTGCTGAAAGGAACAGCAGAGCCTGAGCATGTCCGCTCGGTTCTTGGGTGCCCAGCTGGTCGAGAGGCTGTGGGCATGTGCCGTTTGCCCCCTCCTGGTCCCCTGGGTCCCCTAGGACGGCGAGGTGGAGCCAAGGGACTTGGCCACAATGCCTTTTCACCTTCCTTTCTACCCTCCGCCCACCAGTACCCTCTCTCCCCCAACCGTGAAAATGTGGAAACACTTTGTATATGCAGACGATGTCTGAAATTTCTGGAGCTATTTTATTCTGTAAAGCCCAGAGCACTTGTAGGCTAACAGGATGTCTGTGTTTGACCCTAGAGAGGAGGCAGAAAGGTGATATGATACCTACAAGGTCACTCGGCAAGTTGGGGCACATCCAGCATTAGAGCCTCACTCTCCTCATTCCCAGCTCTACCCTCCCCTGAGAACCAGCTGCAAGAGGTGCCTTGGAGACCCCTGGAAGCCCAGGCAGTTATCCATTTGGCAATGAAGGAACCTGTTCATTTTATCCCTGTCTGTCCTCCCTCTTCCATTATTCTGTCCCTTTCTTCTTCCTTTTTAACTTTTTCTCCTGGCCTGAGCCTTAGGCCTGCTTCCCAGGATGTGCCTTGCCCCTCCTCCCATGGTGCTCCTCAGCAGTCCTGTAATTACAGGGCCCTGCTGGGGGAAGGGACCTAAATGGCACACTGTCCTCCTCTTTTCTGACCATCATTAAAATTCTGTTCTGAAATTTTTGTCCTTGGTGACATCCCAAATGCCTTTTAAAGATGTTCATTTGAGGCCTCCTTTGAAATGCAGTTTTCCTGGACAGCCCAACTCCATTTAGGGAGGATCTAGTATTTGGAGCTAAAAAGATGGTGGATTCTTCCTCTAGCCTGTGTAACAAGGGACTTTAGAGTCAACCATACAACAGCGCATGAATCTCTCCTAGAACATTTCCCAAAAAGTAATGGCCAGCTTCTGCTTGCACACTTGCAGTGATAGGGAAATCACTCTCTTGGCAAGCACCCTGTTCCACTGTCAGATGGTGTAAATGGTTAGACAATCCTTCCTGACATTGAGTTTTATCCTAGATCCCTGTAATCCTACCCATTGGCCTTTGAGAAGCCCACAGGTACCTGATTCATCTCCCATGTAATGGTCCTTCTCATACTTCACCTCAGCCATCATGTTCTCCCTAAGCCTTCTTCCTTCCAGGCTAAATGCCCCTTGTTTATTTCCTCCTTGAGCTTACTGCTGCTGGGTTTCTGATTCTTCCTGATTATTAGTGTGTCTTGTATCCAGCAGTGCTCCTTCATCTAACAGCCAAGTCAACCAATAAAGAAAAAAACACCATCACACAGTCAGTTATGTTTTCACATGACCCATGTAAAGTTCTAATAATCCTCACTTTCTCTTCTAGGATCTCTTCTACAACTCATCCCTTCTGAATGCTACCCTAGGATCTTGCCCCAAAATGATATTAAAATCACTGGTTTGCAGTTTCTGAAATCCACATCTTTGAAATTTGGAATTTTATTTGCTCACACACAACCTCCCTCCTTTCTCTAACCAATGTTCACATTCTCCAAGCTTTCTGCAAGGCCAACAACAGATCTGCAGAGATACCATTAAAAGTTCTCTCTGTTTCCTGGGGTGCAGTTCACCCACAGCAGATAGATGCTTTCCTACAATCTCTTCACCCATTGGGAACTGTCTTCAGTTATTATATTTGTTCTACCCTACCCCCTACCTTTAGTCTGAAATCACTCTCCTTGACATTGTCTATTAGAAGCAAAATAAAAATTGATGAAGTGTGTTTTCTCTTTGCCATCTATCAACATGCCATCATTTGCTCAGAGAAAAGGCCTCCTATATATTCTTATTCCTGTTTTCCTAATTAATGATGCGCAACTGGGACATTGATTGAAACCCAAGAGTTATCTTCTACTTTAGGCCTCCCGACAGTCCCCCAAGTGTGTAATATGCTAGTATTTATGCTTCTTTCTACATCTCATCACAGAGCCACATTGGTTTGTTAGGGACTTTACTTCTTTTCTTCCTCATTAGGGTCATTAGAACCTCATTAGGGTCATTAAAGCATTTTCATCTCACCCCTGGGCATCCAACTCCTCTCCTTGCTTTATTTTCTTCTTCTTCTACCACACCATCATGTTAATCTTATATTCTACAGTTATCCTTTACCAAAAATTCTGCAGTAATTTCATCTAGCCTGTAGATTAAAGCTCAAACTCTTTACCCCCTTACAAGGTTTCATAAAGGCTTCAGGCCATTTTCCAAAGCTGACCATCACACTCCCTTAGACACACTCTCTGTTCTAACCAGGCAGCCCTCTAAACATGTTTTGAAAAACCCCCACATTGGCATCATTCCTCTTGCCCATAAAATATTTAACTGCTCTGCTTTTTAAAGTTCTTATAATTACAGGTGCCACATATCAGTAGGTCAAATAAATATCATTTGATCATCTCACTAGAAGCTGAAAAGACAGTCAATTAAAGCCAACAAACATTCTTGATATTTAAAACCTCTTCCTAAACGAGGAATGGTTTATAAAGAATAAGATCGTCTCCTGCATAAAGACGTATTCCAAACTAGTAGGAATAAAACAAATATCACAACAGAAAAATGATCAAAGGTCATAAAAAGAAAATTTACAGAAGAAAAAATTCAAATGGAAAATTAACATATGAAAAAAACCACTCAACCTCCCTAGTAATCAGAGAATACAATTTTTTTAAATACTTCTTTTTTGCCCATCAGAGGGAAAAAAATTTTTACATGTCTGTTAATGTCAAGTGTTGACCATGGCATAAGGAAACATGGTCTCATGCACTGTTGGTAGGAGCATAAACACACAGCCACTCTAGAGGGCAATCTGGAGTAGCTATTAAGATGAAAACTAGATGTTTGTTATGATCCAGCAGATCTACTTCTAGATATCTAGCCTGTAGAAACACTGACACGAGGGGCAAAGAGCATCTTTAGTATGCTGCCCATATCCTAGGGCTTCTACGAGAAAACACCACAAATTAGGTACCTGAAAATGTCAGAAATTTATTGTCAGACAGTTCTAGAGACTGGAAGTCCAACATCAAGATGTTGGCAGGACCATGCTCCCTCTTAAACCTGTAGGGGAGAATACTTCCTTGCCTTCGAGTGTCAAGGAAATCCTTGACATTCCTTGGCTTATCGATGCTTCATTCCAATTTCTGCCTTTGTTACCACATGACTGTCTTTTCTCACAACATCCTTCCACTGTCGCCAAATTTCTCTCTTCTTATAAGGACACGAGTCATATTGGATTATAAGCCTACCCTATTCCAGCATGACCTCATTTTAATCAATTACATCTACAATGACACTATTTCTAAATAAATTTACATTTTGAGGTCATAGGCATTAGGACTTCAACGTATCTTGGGGGGGATGCTATTCAACCCATAACCCCACCTTTCATGTAACAAAGAAGGGAACAGGGGCACCAGGCTGACTCAGTCGGTGGAATGTGCAACTCTTGATCTCAGAGTTGTGGGTTTGGGCCCCACGTTGGGTGCAGAGATCACTTAAGAAGAAAATCCTGGGGTGCCCAGGTGGCTCAGTCAGTTAAGCGTCCAACTCTTCATTTTGGCTCACGTCATGATCTCAGGGTCATGCTGGGCATGGAGCCTGCTTAAGATTCTCTCCTCCTCTCCCTCTGCCCCTCCTCTGCCAAAAATAATAATAAATAAATAAAATTTTTAAAAAGAAGGGGACATAAGAAAACATACCTATATCTGCTTACCTGTGCAAAATGAAAGAGTGATGGAAGAACCAAGAAGCCTAGCAGACAACAGGAGGATGATAGCAGATAACCACTACCACCATTAGGCTGAAGGCAGGCGTGGCCCTAACAGAGAGCTCTGGGCAAGCATACAAATGAAGGCCCGCATCTCATGCGTCTA